CACTTGCATTGATTGATTCTTTTAAAGATAAGCCTGGGTGAGACGTGGTTTGTGGGGTGGCCCGAGCGGATTGGCTGAGTTTGAGCTTGTCCTGCTGCCACTTTTCGTTGAATTCTACTAACTCTTTGGTTCCTTCATTGGATCCTTCGAGTTGTCGAATCAAATCAAGTGCGAACTCCGTGATGTTCTCTTTCTCAGGGATGGGATGACCAAACTCATTGAAGAATCGAGGTAGACTCGTTGGAGATCCGTTGAACACATTCTTGCCGCGAGACAAGAAGATGAGACGATCAAGAAAATCTATAATACGAGCACTAGGTTGATGGATAGACATAATCACAATACTCCCACTCCTAGCTATTCGTTTAAGAACTTGCACCACCATAAAAGCGTTGGTTGAGTCCAGCCCCGACGTAGGTTCGTCAAGAAACAAAACGATCGGATCATGGATAATATCGATCCCTATTGAAACACGGCGTCTCTCTCCACCAGAGACTCCACGGTGTCCTTCATCTCCGATCACAGTATCCACCGCGTTTCTGAGCCCTAATTGGTCAATTAGGGTTTCAACACGTTCCATCTTCTTGGATTTGGACAAGGTTCTTGGGAGACGAAACTCCGAAGCGAAAACTAGGGTTTCTTTAACGGTAAGCATTGGGAAAAGAAGATCATCTTGCATCACATACGCTGATATCACTTTCAACAACCGAGATTGCAAAATCTTCTCTCCGTTAAGTGTTACTGAGCCTCTCAAGCTCGTCTCCGCAACCCTCCCTGCTAACGCGTCGATCAAAGTGGACTTCCCTGCTCCGCTTGCACCAAGAACGGCAAGAACCTCGCCGTCACAAACCTCACCGGAAACATCAGCGAGTAGAGTCTTTTTCACAGAGCTTTTTCGTGAGAAACCAATCCCTCGGCGAAGTGTGACATCATATTCAAGATTGTTAAAGGCTAAGACGAACGGTACTGGTTCTACGTGTAAGGCTTCGACATCTATCGTGTAATGAGCAGGATCTTCGCTTCCGGCTCGGTTGCCAAAATCTTCCTTCCGGAAACTATCGCAGTCTTTTAACAACTCGGCGAGGGAAGGTGATCCGACAGGACATATATCACTGTTCTCCGAGGAAACAACACGTGGCATCGTGATGTTTTTAGAGCTAGAGTGATAAGTTTAGTTTATGTAAAGGATCAGAAAGTTCTGATCCTAGTACTGTCTTTTTTCTAATGATGTGTGTAACTTGTTTGTATACGTTGAGTATTTATAGATAAAACTATAAATGGTATAAACTTATTTTATACACAAAAAGACAAAAAAAAAAAAATGATTTGTGTGTGAAACATGAAGGAGCCACGAAGATAATAGCTTGACGTGTGTGGTTTAAAGAACTCCGACACTGAGCATCATCATATATTAGAAAAGATGATTTCATGTGTAGTTTCGTTTTCGACATAAATGTATCGAGGAACTAGAATCGTGATTTACGTGGTTAATGAATTTGTGATATAAGGCTTGAAGGAAAATGCAATTTGGATTCTCCAACTTAAGTTTCTATTGGGAGTACGTCAACTACAAAATTTTTGTTCAAAGCTATATAATATGTATGTTTCTATATAAAAACATGTTTAAAGTGGGGGTTATTGGTTTGTGTATTTTAACTAAACTAAAAAAACTTGTGTATGTTTTACAAGAGGATCGATTTAGTAAATATTATAACTAGTAATGATAGTTTTAAGAAGTTGTTTAACTAGTATGAACTATTATTCTAGTTTCTACAAAAGAAAACGTAAGACTGAATAAATTATAGAAAGAGAAATAAATTGTTAATATGCAAACAAAACAATGATACATATGGGAAAATATTTTCTTATCTCATACAGCATAAGCTGAATTATTGGGTAGATCACAATGGGGCTTTAAAGACGATAGAACCGATTATAAATGGCCCAATTACTTCAATCACATTCGTGGACAATACTTTGGCCCATCAATGTTCAAATATTTCTATGTTATCGGATTTATTTTTATTTTTATTTTATTTTTGTAAAAGAAGAGAAATAATGGCCTAAAATATATGTCTTCTTAAAGATACATGATCTCTCATATTCCTTGTATTTTATTTTTAAAAATACTCATTTAATTAGAAGAATTTTTTTGAAGAATGAAATACTCTTACTTCTTTTTTTGGTGAATATGAAATACTTTTATTTATGGTGGGTGAAACTTATCGTAGATGGTGGATCCGTCCATAATTATCGTGGATGGTAGATCCGTCCATGACTTTGCAAAGCTAAATGATAATTCACAACGAAATTTATCATGTATGGTGGATCCGTTCATAATTACATTACATACTCTAATTATTTTCAACAAATATTATTTTCAAGACTTGTAACTTGTAAGAATTCCTGACCAATTATTTGAACGTTTCAGAACTGTCAAATCGATGTCTTGAAGTAGATACATCACATGTCATTGTTGTGATATATGTCATAACCAACTTGTCACATTACGGTAATTTAAACATGTTTTAATATATTGTTCAGTGTTCACAGTGTAGTCATATATGTATGTGGCGACCTCATGGACACACATGCAAATTCTTATACAAAAGAAAGTAATGTGGCTTATGTCTCTTCTTCTCCAAAGTTACAAGTCACAACGAGATATGGCATGCTATAAATATAATAACACGTTTTTTTATAGAAAGGTCTTATAATATTAATACTATATATTTTATAACAGGGTTTGAATGGAGAAGCAGATATAAAGCAGTAATATAGCAGGACAGATTAACTGTTTTTTGTTTACCATTCATAAAAATAAATAATTATCATTTATAACTGCAGTTTTCCTGTTAAAATTCTGTAGGTGGACAAAAAAAAAGAAAATTTATTTTATGGTCATGTTTTTTCCCTATAAAGCAGAGCAGATTAAACACCTCTATTTTAATGTAGGATCTGCACTTGAACTGCCAAATCTGCTTGATCTGCTTTTATTTTGTTAGATCTGCCTTGTACACTTGATCTGCTCTGCCTATTTTATTTTCCCATTCGAAGCCACAATATAACAATATATTTTTAAAAACTATTACATTTCACGACAATCCTTACACAGGGTGTGGGACAAACAAGTACATAAGGTATTAAATTCACATTTATTTTTACCAATGGTGTGAATTGATAAGGCAATGTCTTTGATTCAAATTTCATTTGGTACACTTGGAGATGTTTATAGAGATGCCTTTGGGGAGATGAGCACCAGGTACACGAACCACCTCACAGTCTTGGGACCAGGAGAAGTTGTAAGTGGTGACAAGATGATGAAGGAAGACTGAAATCTGAAGCCTAGCAAACTCTGCACCAGCGCACTGCCTAATTCCAGTTCCAAACACCATGAAAGTTTTCGACCCTGACCGCAACTCTTTCCCCTGTACACCAGATTTATCATCAACATAATATATATAAAATGTTACAACTAATAAAACATAAAATATGTAGACTAAAGTTAGCTAGTGTGCAATACCTCCCACCTCCATGGATTAAACTCAAAAGGGTTTTCATAGATTTCAGGATCAAAATGAACCACTGAAGGTATAATCATTACTATCCAATCTGCTGGAATCGTGTATCCTGTGGAGATAAAGATTTCCACAAATGTATTAACATCATTTGTTTGTAATCTATATACAATTTTCGTGCCTAAGTACTATTTACCTTTGATTTCGACATCTTTCACCGCTTTTCTAAACATCATAGGAGCCAGATTCGTTATTCGAAGGGACTCATTGATAACCTAGGAAGTGTAGATAAAGTGCCAAGTGAGTATACCTAATCTGATAAAATTTTGTCTCAGCCATATATTAGGAAACTAAAGTTACCATGTTGGTTAAAGTCATCTTGTGTCTATATTCTTCCCAAGTAACTCCATTTTCTTTGTCGTCTCTGCTTTCAAGGATTGCCATGCTCTTTCTGCCAAATTATTCATAGACACATGCAAAAAGATCTTGAACCATTACTACTATCACTTTCATATTTATTTTACTAGCTTATCGATCGAGCCATCATCCATATGCATTATTACCTTTAACTCTGCGAGAACTTTAGGGTTTTTTGATAGGAATTTCACAGCCAAGCAAGTGGCCTTAGATGTAGTATCTTGAGTGATACATGAAAGAGTTAAGATGAGTGCTACAATGGCAGTTTCGTTCACTAATCCTCCTGTTTTCTCTAACTCCTCTATTGCCGTGTTGAGGAAGTCATCGTACTTCTCATTTGATGTTCTTCTCCTCGCGTAGATATCCCTTATCCCTTGGATTCCTTCTCTACATGCCTGCTTATAACATTATAGTTAGTTACTTAGTTACTTTCTCGAGAATGCTAACAAAAGAAAGAAACAAACGCACCCAAATAGTATTGTAAAGACCCCTCCCAGCAGAGATGATATAGGATGTTAGAAACCAATCAAAACTAAAGGCCTTGAAATTTCCCATATGCTTTTCTTGAGTCTCTGGTTTGAGATTACTTATCATCTTTGGTGTCAAGTGGGCTATTATCAACTACAAAGATTAAAAAAGAGACTAAAGAGTGTGAGACTAATTCCAACATTAAGAAAAATGGTAAAAAGATAGACTATGTGTACACTTGAAACTGCTTCCTTAACGTCGAATCTTCCTTTGCTAGCATTCGAATAAAGATGCTCTCGTGTTACGCGGTCCATATCTTTTAATATTTTCTGTTTCAAACCCTCCGAGGACAATAGACGAAGGGTTAGTTGTTTCATGTGCTTGTGGATGTTACCTATCTTGAAGAACAAGCTATCTTTTCCCAATGGCTTCGCCAAACCATCCGGGTAACTTAAAATGAACGACTTGTTCTCTTGTCGTAAAATCTCCATGTTAACATCCTTATCCGTCGAAACAATGGTTTTTACTCCAAGAATGTTCTTCCGAAACAAAGGCCCATACCTAAGACATTCATTACAAATTTACAACACACATAAATAACCTATATATAAATTGTGTATAGATATAGAGAGAAAGTAAAATCTGACCTCAACATCTTTTTCTTGAGATATGGGTTGATCTCATAAAATCCATGAGGCTTAAAGAAATCGAATGTCTCTCCGATGATGGGAAGACCCATTGATCCCGGAGGTAACTTGCCATTAGTTTTAGGGTTGGACCATCGGTACCACCAATGTCCAATCCTCAAAACCACTAAGGCTATAACCCA